CCTTTTGGGTGGGTAGTAGGTGTGATGAGTGGGACAGCGTGGGGGTGGGAGTGGCAGTTTCCATATCTTGACCTGTGGTGGTGATACAGGCAGTGACTAATTATTTGTTCAAGTGAACAGATATGTTCTGTGTACTTCTCTGAATGTTAGCTCCACTTCAGAACAGTAGAAAAGGGAATCAAGACCAGGAATAGAGCACCTATGCGAGTAGTTGGAAACTAAGGTCGGTAGGGGTGAAGGTTCAGTGCAGGGCTGGCTCTGGGGAGTGTGAGTGTCCTTTGAAAGGACACCGGGTGTTTGTGTTACAGGCCACTTCTTGGGAGGGTGCAGTCTGAAAGCCAGACTGAGGTGGTAATGTGGGCTGTCCCAGGAGTTTCAGCCATACTATGTTTCTAATTTTTTCCTGGATGGGGCCAGAGTCACTTGACCCTTGTGCGGTGATGCTGTCACATAGGCCTGGTGTGCTTTGCAGGGAGGTGCCTGGCAGGGCCACAGCCTCCCCCACCTCAGCCCTGACTGCCAGAATCCAGTGGGCATGATGAGGTGGTGGAGACTGGTTCTCCCTCCATGACGCCCTTCCCAGAGGTCCTGGCCATGCTGGTTGCCAGTTTTGCCGCCTGTGGCTCTGGCACTAGGGCCCCAGCAGAACTCTGGGGTGTGCTGCTTGCTCTGCTCCTGTTTCCTCTTCCCTGCCTCGCCCACAGGCTTTGTCTCTGAAGGGGTTGGACCTGCTTTCTCACCTCTCCCTTGGGACTCGGGCAGTACCTGTGACAGGTTGGAAAGGCCCAAACACTTTTTCTGGGCCCCTTATTGCATCTGACACAGCTGCTTGGATTGATCCTGAAGCAGCAGGAGACAAAGTGCATCTAGAATGTATGTTGTGACAATGTGGCCTTTCAGAGATCCAGCTCCAACTCATCCAGCTTGACAAAGGGCCCCAGGCCTGGGGTGTTGGAGAAAACAGACCTAGATAGGGATGAATAGAGATCAGGTTATCTAAATGTCAGCCCACATTGCCCAACAGGACATGCTTTGTTGGCGGCCATGGGTGGGCCTGGAAATCAGCAAATACTGATTCAGTGTCATTGTCCCCGTCACCCCTGCTGCCACTGCACCCAGCCAGGGCTTGGGGTGAACCCAAACCATGCACTCCGGGGTCCTGAAAGAGTCCTGCTGCCCCTAGAAAGGAAGTAGGGAGAGGCTACAGGATGAACCCAAGCCCAAGACATCTGCCCTCGTGGCAGCCCAGATAGTATGAAAGGCTCACAGTATGTGCTCGTGACTGTCAACTCACCTTCCACATTGCCCGCTCCCTGCAGGGACCCAGGGCTCTCTCTACTGTTACTCCTGACCTTGACTGGTGGTAGCCTGGAAGAGCCAGCTGGGCCCAGTTCTGATCTCAGTTCCTCTTTTATCTGCTGTGTGACCTGAAACAAGGTGCCTTGCTGCTCTGAGCCTTTCACCTCAGCTGAGCAGGATGGTGAAGATTCAACCAGCTAATGAATGTAAAGCCCCTGCTCTTAGGAGAGCTCCTTCTCAGAGGGGAGCTAATCACTGTTGGCTACAACTTTCCTTGCCAGAAAGTCTCCAGAATGTGGTCCGACAGGGAAAGGGGAGCAGAGCCCTGGGGGAGAGAATAAAGATTAAGGGTTCAATGAAGAGGGTTGGGGAGACAACATGAAGGCCTGATCCCAGGGTGACGGGAATGGCAAGGGCCCACCCTGGTCAGTGAGACCCACTGGCCAGGAGCAAGAGAGTGGTGCCATGGGCAACCCAGGTTGGGATGTCTAGGCCACAGCAAAACTGGAGGCTGTGCCCTATGGCCAGTTGGGGTTGGCCAACACCAAACTCACACCTGGCTTAGGCCTCCTGGAAGCCAGAGTGGTCCAGACTGGGTGGAGTCCAGGCTAAAGCCTGGGTTCCAGGTGAGACCCAGCCCTGGGAAATTCTCCCAGGTACCTCACCTCCAGGGATACTGCCCTGCACAGCAGACCTCATATTCTGGTGGAGCAGTCCAGGACTCACATACTAGGATGCTGGCACATGGCACCACCCCAGGTCCTACCACTGACCCTTCCCTTTTGACCCCCCCCCCCCCATTTCTTCCTTGCAAAAAGAGGACATATTTACTGCCTCTGCAGGGCTGTTATGATGAGAGAACATATGTTGAGTCCCTGGCACAAGACCTGGCACACAGCAAGAACCCAGTAGTTGTTAATTTCCCTTCTGTTAGGGGGATTTACCAATGGAGAAATGTACGAGGCTTGTTGAGGATTAGAAACAGATTTATTGAAAACCACCTGGGTGAGGCTCCGTGAGCAGTCACCACCCCCGAGGGGGTAGAAACTGGTTTTTGTTAGGGCTTAGGTGGATGGGAGAGGGAGGGGGGAGCTGGGTAAGGGATCAATCTTGTTCTTTCTGTTGTTCCTACAGTCAGGTACAGGTGTTCTCACTGGTCATTTGTGGTTTGGCAAGGACTTGTGGTCACTTTGTGGTTTGTAAGTTGCCAAGTTCCCGCTTCTATGACTGCTCGTACCAAGACGGGAATTTTGGACTTGGGTTGCAAGGGACATACCTTCCCCCATCCCTCTTTTCACCAAGACACTGCTTCTAGCTATATGACCTTAGACAACTGTCCTCACCTCTCTGATTAACTTTCTTCATCTGCAAAGTAAGGATGGTGCTTACTACTTTGCAGTGCTCTTGAGAATCCATCATTGGGTGAAAGGCCTGGTAATTGTTAGGTTGGGGTGGAAAAGACTCATCAGCATCAGCATCTAGGAGTGACGGGTAAGGTAGGGGCACGTGAGCTGGGGACCAGGCCTTGACTAGTTTTCCGGGGAGTTGTTGGAGGTACGTGTCACATGGCTGAACTCCAAGTGACGAGAGCAGACCTGGGAGAGCCCGAGGAGGCTCCTGGCCCCTTGGGGCTGCCTCTCCTCCCTCTCCCTGTGTTGCTCTCTTGGGCCTTTAACTCCCCCCCTTCCTGGCTTCCCTCAGGTCAGGTTCCTGCCTGGCTTTGGCCTCCTCATCAAGCCGGCCTGGAGCCAGCCAGCTCTCCCACAAACTGGGCTCTGTCCCTTTAAAACAGATGCCTGAGCCCACAACAAACTTGTGACAGTTCCTTGGAATCCCAGGATTGTTTTCACACCTGGGCTGAGAGGGTGGGGCAGCAGCTGGACTGGGCAGTGACCGCACTCCAGCCCCGGGGCATGCTGGGTGCTTCCTCGTTCATCACAGTACAGTTGACCCTCGAACAGTGCGGCATTAGGACCACCTCCAGTTGAAAATCCACCTATAACTATAACTGAGTCTCCCAAACTAATAGCTCACTATTGACAGGAACCCAACAACATAAACAGTCCATTAACATATTTTGTATGTTATGTGTATTATGTACAGTATTCTTACTCTAAAGTAAGCTTGAGAAAAGATGTTAAGAAAATCATAAGAGAAAATACATTTACAGTATTTATTGAAAAATATCCACGCATAAGGGGACGCATGCAGTTCAAACCCGTGTAATTCAAGGGTCAACTGTAATAACTACCATTTACTAAGCATCAACTGTTTGTCACATACTATAAACCACTCCTTCTTCCAAGCCCCAATTGAGACCCTTGACCCTAAGCACTGACCGGATGTTAGTGTCCTAAGGGCAAAAATCCTGCTTCACTCCAGTTACATGATTAAAAGTACAGACTGTACTGCCCAGCTCAGCGGTTGAGCATTGACCTAGGATCCAGGAGATCACAGTTCGAACCCCGATCAGGGCACATGCCAGGGTTGCGGGCTTGATCCCCAGTAGGGGGCATGCAAGAGGCGGCCGATCAATGACTCTCATCATTGATGTTTCTCTCTCTCTCTCTCTTCCTTCCTCTCTCTGAAATCAATAAAGATGTATTAAAAAAACACAAAAACAAAAACTAACCAGCATTGAAATAAACATGGGAGAAGTCTGGATTTTGGTGGGATCCTTCCTCTCTGTTATATCAATCAGTAGTCTGTACTTTTTAAAAAAAAAATGTCTTTGTTGATTTCAGAGAGAGGAAGGGAGAGGGGGAGAGAAAGAAACATCAACGATCCTAGGTCAATGCTCAACTACTGAGCCACAGCCAGCCGGGCAATGCTGGTTGTTTTTTTAATTGTTTTTATTTATTTTAATCCTTACCCAAGGATATTTTTTCCATTGCTTTTCAGAGAGAGAGAGAGAGAGAGATGTCAACGTGAGAGAGACACATTGATCGGTTGCCTCTCCCCTGCAACTGAGGTATGTGCCCTTGGTGGGAATAGAACCCAGGACCTCTCAGTTGGTGGGCCGACGCTCTAACCACTGAGAACACTGGCCGGGCTTCAATGCTGTTTTTTATCTATTATCAGATTATTCCCCCCAAAAGTTATAGCGTCCTGTTTTGCTGGTACCTCCAGGACCCCCCCTGCTTCCCTGTGGGTGACCCAGTCTTGGGACATTAATAGAATAATCTTAGGAGATAATAGTTGTCCTCTTTCTTCAGATGAGGATACTGGGGCTCTCAGAGCTTGAGGGACTTGTCAGAAGTCACCCAGGAAGTGGCAGACCTGGTACGACACACACCCCTCCTGGCCAATTCTCATCCTTTGGTCTCAGTCTGGTTCAAAAGGAAAGATCTGACTTAGACCGCTTGGGCTCAAAAGCCAGCATTACCATTTACTATTTACCAGCTGCAGTCCTTGGGCAAAGCAGTTGTCCCCTGTGTCCTGCTTCCTCCTCTGTTAAGTGGAAATGTAGAATCCCACTTCATCCTGGTTGTGAGGGTTAAACAGTGCCCAGCTTACCTGCTACGCATTAACAGTGCCAGGCCTCTTCTAAGCACTTTACCTACAGAATCCTCACAGCACCCCATTTTACAGAGGAGGAAACTGAGGCAGTGAGTGGTTAAGTAACTTCTCCAAGGTTACAGGTAGTAAGTGGTGGTGATAGCAAGAACTTGCTCATAGCAACTGTTGGTATTTCATACTGGATGGCCCTCCGTGAACTGCCCCGATGGTGGCACTTGTTGCTGGGGACTGCCACTGCCCTTTACCTCACAGGACAGGTGTGTCCTGGAGGGCAAGGCAAGCATCGGGCACACAGACGTGCTGAAGCCTGCCTGCTGCTCCCCTCGGTGCTGGGAAGCGGGGGCCCGGCCAGACTGCCCAGCCCCCGCGACCCCTCCCCCTCCCCAGCAGGCCACAGG